CCCGCCACCTTAGGTGTATGTGGCTGGCGCCTTAGCCCCTTGAGCCACAGGCGCCGAGCCAAGGGTTTTATTTTTATTTTATTTCAGTTTGGTTTAGGCAGAGTCTCAACTCAGTCACCCTGGGTTTGATGTCATGGCATCATAGCTCACAGCAATCTCAAACTTTGGGGCTCAAGAGATCCTCTTGCCTCAGCCTCCCTAGTAAGTGGGACTACAGGAAGCTGCCACAATGCCCTGCTATTTTTAGAGACAGGGTTTCATTCTTGCTCAGGCTGATCTTGAACTCCTGAGCTCAAGCAATGCACCTGCCTCAGCCTCCTGGAATACTAAGATTACTAGCATGAGCCACCATGCCTGGCCTCTATTTACTCAAATATTTTGGGGGGTTTTGTTTGTTTTGTTTTGTTCTTTTGAGATAGAGTCTCACTATGTCACCCTTGGTAGAGTGCTATGGCATCACAGCTCACAGCAACCTCAAACTCTTGGGTTTAAGTGATTCTCTTGCCTCAGCCTCCCAAGTAGCTGGGACTACAGGCACCTGCCACGATGCCTGGCTATTTTTTTTCTATTGCAGTTGTCATTGTTGTTTAGCTGGCCCCGGCTGGGTTCTAATCCTCCCACCTTGGTGCATGTGGCCGGTGCCATAACCACTGTGCTAGGGGTGCCGAATCTACTCAGATATTTTGGATGTGAATTTTATTTCTCTCCTCACAGAGATATTGGGGAATGCCCACAGGCATCATCTTCCTCTTGAGTATCTCCAGCCATCCTGATAAGCTCCTCGAACTCCATGTGGGTAGAACTGAAAATAAAAGCTCTGAAATGTATTAAGGTTTTCATTTGCCTCAGCCAGACCCTGTAATGTCGGTAAGGATAATATTTCCCACATAGATAGTTGTCAAATGGAGCAGAAAATTATCCAGAAGGAAAACAAATTTAGGATAATGTTCTACTGAATTTCATGAAAATATTACAACTCACAATATACAGTATTGTTCTTATTCCCTGGTGCTTAGAGTTTGGTCCCGTGAACTATGCCTGTGGCTCTGTTAAATTTCATCCTGTACAAACATAAGCAACAGGTTAAACATATTCAAAGAAACAAAGTTTTCCCCAGTCACTATTCCAACTTTATTTTTGTGGTGAAATGTAGTGTTTTAATTAAAGAAATGTACACAAGTTATAAGTGCATAGCTCAGTAAAATTTCTGAAACAAAACACACTTCTGTATGCAGCACCAAGCTCAAGAAACAGAATATTGACTGGATGGGGTAACTCATGCCTGTAATCCTAGACCTCTGAGAGGTGGAGGCAGGAGAATTGCATTATGTTGGGAGTTTGAGATCTGACTTGGCAAAAGTGAAACCTAGATTCTACAAAAATAGAAAAGTTAGCTGGTCACACTTGTAGTCCCAGCCACGAAGGAGGGCTGAGGCAGGAAAATTGTTTGAGTCCAGGAATTTGAAGTTGCAGTGAGCTATGATGGCTGCACTGCATTCCAGCTATAGCCTGGTTGACAGAGCTAGACTTTGTCTCAAAAAAAAAAAAAGGAAAACCAACCCCCTCGAAGTTTCTCATGTCCCCTTTCTGTCACTGCCCCCAAGAGTATGTTCTGCTGGGTATATTTATAGGAGTGGATTGTTAGGACATATGTTTACTTCCATTCTAACATTCAAGACATTGAATGTTAGATCATGTTTGCCTGGTTTGTAATTTATTATTATTTTGAGATAGAGTCTCACTTAGCTGCCCTAGAGTTGAGTGTCATGTGTTATTGTGTTATTACTCACATCAACCTCAAACTTGTGGGCTCAAGCAATTCTCTTCCCTCAGCCTCCCAAGTAGCTGGGACTACTGGCATCCACCACAATGCCTGGCTGTTTTTAGAGACAGGATCTCACTCTTGCTGAGGCTGGTCTTGAAATTCTGAGCTCATGCAATCTGCCTGCCTTGGCCCTCCAAAGTGCTAAGATTATAGGCATCCTGGTTTGTACTTTTTATAAATGTAATTATATAGTGAGAATTATTTTGCGTTTCCCTTTTTCCAGTCTACATAATGTTTATCAATGTATTGTTGGTATTCATTAGCTTTACTGTATAGGCTTATGTTGTGTGGCTATCAAACAATTAATTCAGTCATTCTACTGTTAATTGGCTCATGTGTTGTCTGAAGTTCAACACTATTATGACTAGTGCTGGTATATAAATTCTGGAATGTATATAGGACAATAAACTCCCATTATCTGGAACCCTAGCAATTGGCACTCTCAAGCAACTTGCATTCGACCTGGCCAAACAAAATCAGAGTTTAAACCTGGTGCTGTGGTTTAAAGTAAACCAATGCTTCCTGCATCACGTGTGCAGCTCCCATGTGTCCTCTGTAATGGTTTTAAATGTTAATGTGTGTTACATGAAGTTAAAAAAAATACAGTAGTGACATTGAAAAGTGTACTGCCATTTAACTAAAATTGTACTGCACACTGCATTTACAAACCTGTTTGATAATATAGGAAAACTGTTACATTAAGTGAAGTTGGCCTTTATTTGTCTTGGTTTGCTTTTCATCAGTGTATTT